TGCATGGAGGGCAGCAGATCACCTCCCAGTGCTGCAGTCCAGTTTTAACTGACAGGTGGGTGAATGTGCTGTGGTAGGACCATCAGATGCAACAAGGAGGATACGTTCCAGGGATGTTCCCTGTGACCACACATCTTGGCATGTGGGCAGATGCAAAGACGTACACCCTGTCTTGCAGAAGAGAGCAGGAGAGGTGGGGACTTACTCTCTCACTTCAAAACAGATATTTTAAAAACCTTCACTTAAAAAAATCCTAAGTATGTTTTGGCTCACAGGAAATGATCATATGCAGATGGTTTACACAGAATTTCCTTGAGCTCTAGAAATGCACTGCTTTATTTTATTACATGTGGCCATAAATATACATAGGAAGAAAGAAGCAGAATGAACAACACATCCTGTGTACTGTTCCACTAAGTAATGCTAAATACGTTTGAAGATGCTCCCACTGGGCACCAGGGGTTCATGACAATTGTACAAACTGCTGTGGGAACACACCAAAGTCCACTGGTTGAGTGTCCCACTGCTAGGAGAAGAATGGGACACAGTTTTTTGACACAACTATTTCTAATTACAAAAATGCATTTAGAGAAAATGAAAATTTTCACTGGAAATAGTTGGTATTGACAACACTTTCAACCCCAACTATTTCTGGATGGAACTGCTGCCCCGCACCAACAGCTGAATTAGTGGGAAAAAAAGGATTCCAAAGCACATTGTGCCCTCATCACAGAGTAAACAATTGGGAATCATTAGATGGGTATTGCTTTTTATTTAGAACTCTCAGCTAATGCAGTATTAAAATAATAAACATGATTGAGCCCTAATATGTTTCAACTAATCTGAATCAAACATCTAGCTTTTTATCAGGATAAGAAAAAAACCCTCGTCATTTAAATTTTAATGGAGAGGAGAACAGTTTCATGCTAAGCGTTAGGCAGCTGAACCTCAATGGAAGGAAGAGCAGCATATGTCCTCAGAACGAGAACAATGTTGTCCCTCCAGCACAGTCATACTTCAGGCACTGGGTTTCTTCTTTACTATGGAGAAATATTGTTCTATAGGATTATCTGGTGTTAATAAAATTGCTTGATGATTATATAATGGAAGTTAGTTTATAATGTGTAATTATGAGAATGAGTCATATTCCCCAGATAGATCTTCCACAGTTTTTCTCTGTGTAGCAACATAAGCAAATTGAGTTTTCCTGACAAGAACTGACCAGAGGTAGGAAGGATGGAAGAGGATTCATGACCACTAAAGCACCGAAAAGGGTGGGTAACAGTCCAGTTGTACCCCCACAAATGTGCTCTGCAGCCTCAGCAGTTTCTCCCAAACACATCAGTCCAAAGGAGGCTGTCTATGCAGAGCTCAGGACAGGGAGCTGATAGGAGCTTGTGTGTGCTCGGCCCACACACCCATCACCGTGCCATCACCCCAGCCCACCAAGGAGGCCGTTTCAGCCTCACCCCTTACTGCTGCCACACACCCCCCAAAGGAAAAAGACTTCATTCACTCCCAGCCTCTGCTTTCAGCCAACGCGCGTCTGTGTTACTGCGGAGCACATGATAATTCTGCCATTTAAGTGCACTGGGTGAATTCATGCCCACACTGGGTGAGCCTTTCAGGCTTAAATAGTCCACCATGCTCTTCTGGGCAGGAGCTCGAAACAGTTTCATCACAGGAAAAGGGAAGAGGCCTCACTGTAAACAAGTATGGTGTCATCCACCCCCAAGGCATCTTCCTCCTTCTCCTCCTATCTTGGCTGTGACCTGAAGCATGTCAGTCATGCAAGGGCAGGTTTTCCTGAATGCCATTAAACTCTCAGCTTTGAGGGTATATTCTCTCCATTCTCTCCATGCCCAGTGCAAAAAAAAAAAAAAAATCTGTTTCAAAACAAGTCCCGTGTTTTAAATCTCACCTTGCAGTTCAATTCACACTTTTTTTTTATACCAGTGTGAGAGGCACAGAGGCAGCTTCTCTGGAACAGCCTTTCAGAGGTCTCAAGCAGAAAAGAATCCAAAAGAGCTCTTTAATACTCATAACCAACACACCTGAGACTCTACCTGAATACCCGTGAGCCGGCAGGGCTGAGGATGCACAATACAGAGTCTGTAAGAGACATTCACTGGTGATAAATGAAGACTCCTGCCTTGTCACACTGTTCAGCCTCTCCCTAAGCACAGCCATAGCTGCCTCTCAGCCCCTGCTTATTGCAGCAACTGAAGTTTTCTCAGCTTTCTTCATCTGCCCATGACTGAGAACGGTCCTCAGTGTGGTCAGAAGATATGTCTGTGCCTGTTTCCAGCATTGGTAAGCCCACTGAGGCGGGCAAGCAGAGGAAAGTGAATTCAGATGCTCAGCTGGTTATGAGCACCACATCACGGAGTGATGCCAGGCAGTTTTGAGCCTGGGCAATGCCAGAGGAAGCCCTCACGGCTCCTTGTGCTGTACTCACTGCACCGCAGGGTGTGATAGCAAAGGGCGCACCAACCTAGGGTGGATGTGCCTTGATGTGTTTGTGGAGCACCAGCCCAAGATTTCATAACTTTTCACTGTCCCATTTCACAGGTACTACTGGGATTCCTTGCAGTTCCTGCAGAGTTTATTGAAATCTCTCTTCTATTAAGGTTTTCCCAACCCACCAGGTTATCTTCTGCAGCACTTATCTCTAGATTTTCCTGGAAACATTATCTAAGATCATCTAGTTAGCTCAGTATGCTTGCAGATGCTTGGACAATCCTATGAGACATAACTGCAGAGAAAACTACCATTTCATAAAACAGCTTCCATCTTACAGCAAACTTTGAAATAAAACATTCTTTTTGGGAACCATTTGTTCCGTAACTTCTATCCCTGATCCTGGCCAGGCATTTCCAGATACACTGAATCCATCAGGCTTCTTCATTTTTAAGGAGCTAATCTTCATTCTTGAGGTATGTTGCCTGCACGAATTCTAGGGAAAAAGTGGCATTAAATCTTCCTTTCATGTATTAAACATGAAGCTGTGAAGTATGTTGCACACAAGCATCCTCACTGGTATTCAAACTATCCAAACATGTTCTTTTTGTGAATGGAAGACATGAAGCTTAGTCCACCTGAAAGGAATGACTCATACAAAAGATGTAATAAACATCTCTCCAGACAAAAAAAAACCCCTTACCCTTCTGCAGAATTATACAGAACAAATAGAAACCTATCCATGTCCTGATAACACGGGTGTCAGCAACTGGAAACCAACAGTTAAACAGAACGTAACCCAATGGTTTCATGAGCCAAAGTAGCTGTTAGTATAGAAAAGAATTTCGTGCACTTCAAGAGAAAAGGATTTCTCACTGGAACAAGCTAAAATTATGACTTTGACTCCACTAAGTTTTGTAGTGTACAATTTAAATTTCTACAAGCCTGAGAAGGCCTTGCTTCCTCAGACATTTCAGAAATGAAGTCTAGCAGAAGATGAAACTTCAGGTGTGTCTTAGTGTGTGGGCGAAGGTGTGCTGGGAGGGGCATTTATAAAAAGATGTTTCCACAAACACTTGCTATAAGCCATAACAAACAACCCTGTAAATTAGCAACAACCAACATCATAAAGGCTGAGTGAGAAAAGAATAATACAGCAAATCAATACAGGAAGTTGGATATCACACAACTAGTTCAATCTACAAAGAACGACAGCTAACAGACTGCATTTTGCCAAAGATCATGTGCCTGGGAAGGAGGACAGACATGAGAGGCAGTCAGGAAAGAAATTTCAAATGTTTGAGGCTCAGGTTGCTGTGACAGCTCAGAAGACGGATGCTCAGCTGAGCTATCCACTGCTATGTGTTTGAAAAAGGTACAATCTCAAAAGAAGAAGATGCATGATAGCAAATATTTCCTACTTTTGGTCATGCTGTGTCCATGAATGGAGAACAAAACTGAAGGGAAAATGCTATTTTGATGTATAGCTTATTGACTTAATCCCCAAACCAGGAACTTAACCTTTCTCCTCTGAGTAAGTATGTTTGTATTTGCACTGCGGAAGAAAAACATCCTGACTGAAATTTTGAAATCCCTTCAGGAGTGAGAACATTACCTCTCATATTCACAGACATGTCCAGAGAGACTAGCCCAGAGCCAGGATGCTTTCCCAGGTCTCTCAAACATACTGTAACTGCATTTGGCCCGAGCACATGAAGAGTTATTCCCTGCAACAACCTGTCACACTTCCTTTCCTTACAGTCTTACACAGAGCTATTTTCCAGTTGTTGTCATACAATTTTTCATAATTAAATTGTTACTTATAAAACATAATTGTAGATGTATGTTTGGAATAAATTGCCGACACATACAATATTTGCCAATGTTCACTAAGTTTTTATGAGAAATTGCAAAGATGTCAGAGTACCTACAAAATACCTCCTGCGATATGTTTTCAAAAGGCATAAAGCAACAAAGGACTAAAAATAAGGAGCATACAGCATAAGATAACCTATTAAAATATCACTTAAGTATAAAAAAATCAGCTGGGATTGACAAATATCTGAAAAGAAAGAGCATGAGGAATGACTACATTAAAAGAGAAATAGCAATATTCATTACTGCCCCATATTATGACAGTTTATTGTTGTGCTGAAAGAGATGTGAACAGGATGAGGTGAGTGGGATGAGTTTAATTCAGATGACTGTAAGTCAGTGGACTAGATCACAGAAAAGATCTACCTAATTCAGAGCCACCCAATAGAAATTACATGTTTTGTATTAATAAACAAACGGTCATGAACATTTTGAGTATGGGTTAAGCTTCCTGACACTGTCAAACATCTCCCTTTGGCAAATTACCCTTGGCATAAAAACTACGGCTTGCAAATGCACATGGAAAGAAGGTACTCCCTTTGACGGTGACACCCACTATCTCAGGTATAAATGCAGACCAGACAGGGTGGAATTTGGAGCTATGATTCCAGAACAACTGTAAGACCAGCCTTGAGTTTTAACCCGAGTCATTCGCTGCTGCCACTATGAGCTGTGGCTCCAAGCAGACCTCTAAAAGCTGCCTGCGAGGGAGCAGTGGTGGCAGTGCTAGCAGTGGTGGTGGTGGAGGGGGCAGTAGGTATTCCTCTGCCTCCTCAAGAAGAATCACTTCTAGGACAAGTGGTGGTGGCAGGATGTCTGGCAGCAGTTGTGGCGGAGGAAGTTCCAGGAGCAGCTATGGTGGGGGAGCTAGTAGTGGTGGTTATGGAAAGATCAGGCGCAGTAGTTATGGAGGAGGAATGAGTGGTGGTTATTATGGAGGGGGAATGAGTGGTGGTGGTTATGGAGGGGGAATGAGTGGTGGTTATTATGGAGGGGGAATGAGTGGTGGTGGTTATGGAGGGGGAATGGGCTGTGGCAGCATGGGAGTAGGCTTTGGATCACATGGGAGTGGGGTTGGTGGTGGTTATGGAGGAAGCTTTGGTGGAGGTGGTGCTGGTGGCAGCTTTGGCATTGGTGGCTTTCGTGGAGGCGATGTCGGAATTCTCTCCAACGACGAAAAGCTGACCATGCAGAGTCTTAATGAACGCCTGGCTTCTTACCTGGATACGGTCAGAAATTTGGAAATGGAAAATGCTCAGCTTGAACAGTTAATCAGGGAGTGGTACCAGAAGCAAGGTCCTACTGGTACAAAGGACTACAGCCACTATTACGGAAAAATTGAAGACCTTCAAAATCAGGTAGGATGTTCTACAGAGAAGTTTAAGCATTGACAGCCTTTTTGTGATTGAGTAAAATCTTTGAGGCATGGATACTTCTAAGCTCACTAAGTGTCCCTCTGAAAGTGCCTCTTGCCCTTGAAATTCTGCCTTCTGTGCATGCATCCAACTATCTCCAACTAGAGGTGGAGAAACGATGCACATCCCCTATAGCACACCCACGGACCATTCATTGGCAGTGACTGCAGACTCTCAGAATGCCTGTAGTGGATTTTAGAGCATAGAAAAAATGGTAACAATTAATCTCTGGAATGTGCAGTGTCTGACATTTGAGTAGAGGCCTTGGCCTGGGGCATGGAAGGTGAGACAGAGCCATGGTGGTGATACCAAGCCTCCTGACAGGAATCTCGCACTCACAAAACAGTCTTTGCCGTTCTGATGCTATATTCACACAGCTACCTCTTCGTTTTGCACTCTAGATGACCTTTCCAGACCTCTGTATGTAGGAAATGCTGTTCCCCTCAGATACCTGGGAATTATAACAAGAAGATTGCATTCATATTTCTGTCCCTTGTGCAAACCTGAGAGATTCACAGGGAAAATTTTCCTCAGCATATCGTCTTCTCTTCTAGCTTGTGACTGCGGCTGTGGAAACCAACAGGGTACTTTTGGACCTGGATAACACAAGGATGACTGCAGAAGACTTCAGGATAAAGTAAATATGTATTCCTCTTTTCCAGGCACTGGCTTCCTTTCTCCTACTTTCCTCAACTTAGTTTCATAAATTCATTCCATAAACAAATATAAGTCCACAGAGACTAGAGTTCCTTCTGGTTCCATGGCAGCACAACTGAAATAATTTGTAAGACTTCAAAATACTTCATTATTGCTATAATGATCTTCAATGGGAATACTCCCCATGACTGTGGAGTCAAAGCTTAAAAAAAGCTTTATTTTTAAGGAAAGAAAAATTGTGATTTTCTCTCACTGAAAGTCAGATGAAACAGATAGATGAACCCTGCACAAAGTCTATAGTAAGAAGAGACAATGAAAAAGACCACAGAATACATTTTAATACTAACGTTTAATATTAATATCAATATTAACCTTTAAGTAGTGGCTGCTGATTTGATAATTCTGCTGGTTGAGAGATGCTATATGCTACAAAGTATAGACACAAAAGCAGACACTGAGATACTGGAATATGTGAACTTTTTAATGAATAAAGTCAGTAGGAGAAGGACTGAGAACCCAAAACCAGGGCGACCTTTCTGTACTGTGCTTGACACAGGTACGAGACGGAATATGGTCTCCGGCAGAATGTGGAGGCTGACATTAACAGCTTGCGACCCTTGTTGGATAATCTGACTCTGAGCAGGTCTGACCTGGAAATGCAATTTGAGTCTCTAAAGGAGGAGATGATTGACCTCAAGAAGAACCATGAGGAGGTAAGAGCCAGCTCCTTGAAATGCGAACTGCAGAGGAAAACAAGAACACTTACAATATCGGAAATGTGGGCAGGTTTCGGAGGTAACATCCTCTGCACTGAATAGTCTTCCCTGCTCTCCTAATGTGTGGCAGCTCGGCCAGGGGCCTCCTGAGACTGCCAGGCCCAGGCTGTTCCAGGGCATCTCCTAGCACATCCCCCTCAACAAGCAATGACTGGGAAGTCAAGGCCAAATAATTGTCACAAGAAAAACAAACAAACATACATATATATGTTGTTGAAAGGATCCGGGATGGTTTACGACATCAGAGCAAGTTAACTGACTTCAAAACTCTTTCGCAAAGTAATTTCACCATTTTTGTTTATTTGCCTTGGGCCTGGGTTTTCTCTGCAGGAAATGAAATTGCTGCAAACACAGTCCAGTGGTGATGTGAATGTGGAGGTGAATGCTGCTCCAGGAGAGGATCTGCTGAAAAAACTGAATGATATGAGACAAGAATATGAAAATATTATTCAGAAAAACCGTGAAGAGGTTGAAAGGTGGTATGAAAGCAAGGTAAATGGTTACAATTTGAATGTTCACATTAGAAAAGCAAAACAATACCAACTTTCAGTAAGAACTTCCTGTAGATGAATGACACTTTGAACGACAACATCCATTGCTTTTAGGATCTAAAGGTAGAATCACTTGATTAAAAGAAAGGAAATCACAAGTGGGCTTGAATTGCACTGGCGGAGCCACAGAAGCAAGTTTAAACAGCCCCCATATTACAAGCGGCCCTGCTTCAACTTGTTGTGTTGCCAGATGCTTCCATGATAAACTACCATGTTGACATTGTAAGTAAAACTCAAAAACTCCAATTCTCTATATTAATTTTTCAGATGGAGGAAGTGAGTCAACAAGTCCACTCAAGTGGCCAGGAAGTGGAATCAAGCAACCAACAGATCTCTGTGCTGAGGCGTGACTATCAGAGCCTGGAGATTGAGCTGCAGTCGCAAATCAGCATGGTAAGTAACGATTGTTTCTGATCCTCTGATATGCGAAGAACACATGAGTTGCTGGAATGACAGGAGATCAGCTATAGCTAGCACTCCATTTAATGAAGATGCTTGGCGCATCTGACACCTCATAAGATTTTTCTCATTTCAGGCATAAGAATGATCTAATCCTGCCACATTCCCATAATGTGCCACATTCCCGTAAACACTGTATTTTTTCTTTCATTCTCAGGTACAGTCTTTGCAATCCAACTTGGAAGACACAGAACGTCGCTACAACATGCAGCTGCAGCAGATCCAGGGTATGATCGGCCCCTTGGAGGAGGAGCTGGCCAGCATCCGCTGTGAGATGGAGAGTCAGAATGAAGAGTACAAGATGCTCCTGGGCATCAAGACCCGCCTGGAACAGGAGATTGCTCAGTACCGGACACTGCTTGAGGGAGGGCAGCATGATATTAGGTATGTACATTCAGATTCATTAACATGCCATCTTTGCAAACAGGTGAAGATGAAAGCAGCAATACTTATATTAGGAACTAGTGCAACTGATTCATCATCAACGTATTTACTACAATCACAAGAATTCATACGGAATCTAAATCTTAGCTGGCAGTGTACAAAGCTGTATTATTCTATATTTATTATGAACTGGACAAAAACAATTACAAAAGTATTTAGAACTATAATTTGCCATTTCTTCTCCTAAGTACAATCAGGAAGTACAGTTTTATTTGAAAATGAAAGGTAAGCAAGAAAATAACTGTCTTTTATAAATACTCAGGGTACATGTTTTGAGAGACTTCTAAAGCCATCCATTATCTTTCTTTTTCTTCTTCTGTGCAGATCAGTTAATTTGTCCTTAGTTAGGATAGTTTAAAACCAGTTCTCTAGAACATGTTTCACACAATAGTACTTTTTCAGTCATACGAGGAGCTCAGAGGGAGTCAGAAAGTGGCCTTGATACAGCCGATAGGATGCCAGACACTGGTCATGTTGCTATAAATCTTATACATAGATGCCCTTTCCTCCTTACAGCATCTCACAGGGAGGAGCTGGTGGTGGATCTTTAGGAGGAGGAGGTCATGGAGGAACTAGCTGGTCTTCTGGAAGAGGAAGTAGTGGAGGAGGAAGTAGCTGGTCCTCAGGTGGAGGAAGCAGTGGAGGAAGAATTGGAGAATCCTATGGAAGAACTTCCTCTTCTGGAGGTGGAGGAGGAGGGAGCGGAGGTAAAACTTCAGGTGGAGGAGGTGGCTGTGGTGGAGGAGGAGGGGGCAAATCCTGCCTCTCCCACTCTTCATCTTCCCAGTCCCAGTCTGGCAACTCTTGTGAAAGCCAAGGTAAAAATTGGAATAAAAGAGTACATCCTTCTATTAACTTTTTTCTCTGAATAGCAGGAAAGGATATGACAACTTTCTTCCTTACTTGGAAATCTGGAGATATTTTTGCTATTTCTTTCCCAAGCGTGTTTTAAGTCCACTCTGACATTTGTTCTTATACAGTAACATTTCAGCATGGTAGTATTTTCACAAGTGACTCGAATGAAGAGGATACAACTCTGAGGAGTTGTATCAGAGGACGTATAGAAAGAGGAAATGAAGGGGGGAAAAGGAAAAATAATGCCCAGTCCAAAGTATGCAGGGAACCAGAGAAGTCAGTAGTTTTGGAATGAAGCCAAATGTTAGAAATGTAACTGGTATTAAGGGGGCAAAATGGTTAAAGAAGGGTAAAATAGTTGGAACGCTCAAGACTTTTAAAATAGAAGGGGTATTAGCTGCAGAATCCTAAAGCAGCAAAAGATGGGGAGAGACCAAAAGGTCTTTTCCATGTCTGATTTCTGTGATTCCAGGAGGTGCTGAAAACATGAAGCTCTGTCTGGAAGGGAATAAAACATTGGAGAGAGGAGCAACAATGGAGGAAGTGTCCAAAGCCATAAAAACAATGAGATTGGGTAAGGCTCCAGGTCCTGATAGCATCTCAAACAAATGCCTGAAAATGTTGAAAATGAACAGGAAGTTATAATTTTTAGAAGGGTTCTCTTCCATTTCTGATTTTTAAAAAAAAAGATGGAAAACAACCCTGCTTTGAGGCTTCCATTTATTCTTTCTCATCAAGGAAGTAACAGGGATATTAATCTTAGTTAAAGATGTAGTCTGTCTCACAAACATGCTGTTTTCCATCACAGACTGACAGTTGGTCATGAAAGTACTGGCTACAGACCAAAAGGCCTGAAGCCATCAATATAGAAAGTAAGAATACTACACAGACTCTCTTGATGCTGAAAACAAAGGCAGTGAATTCAGAAGGCTTTTGTGTAATGAGTAAGATTTTTTTGTAAGATTTGGTGTCGATGAGATCTGGTTTTTAAAAATTAATAGGCATTGTAAACTCCTCCATAAAAATTTACTCCTTTGATCGAGCATCCTATCTGACTTGCAAAAGTCCTACGTGTGCTAATGCTTGGTAGGCAAGATTAAAATATATTATGTGCCATCCTACTTTAAAAAATTTGTTATATATACCCATACACACATAAATACAGTGTTCATCTGTATTCGATTTATACTGCTACAGTCACTCTAAATTTAAAGAGTGATTTACGCTTACGCAGTTGAGACTAGAAGCAAGTCCATGTATTTAATATGATAAAGCTGCAAACACACATGCTTGTACAAGTATTAAGTCTGACACTGTTCTAACCTTTCCAGAATGCTGGGAAAAAAATCTAGTCCACTGAGAACTGCACAGTCTATAATTATGAAGTAACAAAAAGATTAAAAATGCTGAATGAGGTAACACTTCTTCAAAGAAATTCTTGCTTCCCTTCATCTTTCAACAGGGAGTTTTAGAAAGTCTGAGGACTGATTGGCAAAACCAGCATCTTCCACTGCAGGACCTTACCAGTGGGTCTTTGGACCAAGCAAGACTATACCTAGCATGTCCAATCATGCCTCTGCGAAGAGCAAGAGCAAACGCTTGTTCAAGTTACTCAACACTGTTCACTCCAGGGGCTCATCAGAACTCTCTGGATGGCCTACCTGCTTCTTCCATCTGAATTTCTGTGCCTAATCACTGTTACCTGAGTTAATCTCTGCCGTGATTGGTATTCTTTTGTGGAAAAAAAAAAAAAAGAAAAAAAACCAAATCAAAGGAAAAAAGCTAATAAATCTTTGCTTCTCTCTGATGCAACCAGAAAGCCATGTCTGGGAGAAATTTCCTTTAGCGGTCATATTTGTTTGAATCAGTTACAATTATTAAGCCCTACCTGTGGAATACACAGTAACGTGTCAGATTATGCATAAGGCCCAAAAGTTTGCAGCAACATATTCACCATTTAAGACTAACTGGGCAAAACTTTGAAGAATACACTACCCGGTACAATTCTCTGGTGGTCCCTGCAATGGGAAAACTAACAGTCAAAAAATCTACTTGTTTCTGCTATTAACTTCTATCAGGGAAAAAAAAGAACTGACTATTCCCTGGAAAGCCTCCTAAAAGAAATCTTCATAAGGAGTCACTAAAATGCATTATGAGTTTTTTTTATCATGGAATTTAAAGATGGAAATTTTCAGCTCCCAGTGCCAAAACACCCCTGAGTACAGAACTCAAATCATGTACAATTAATTATCCAAAATAAACACATTTTGAGTGCTACCCGCTTGGGTACACATTGGATAACAAGTGGATAAAAGTTCAGTAATAGGATATCCCTACTTTGTGACAGTGGTTATCTGTGCTGTAAAATAAATTCATAAAGCTGGAGTATGAACCAAATTGCACACATATGGTCTTTCAGAAGAAGGAATTCACAGGCTAGTTTTACTGATCATAACCATGCCTTGCTGTCTGGTAGCTGTACAATACCTGGCCTCTTCTATGTATTTCTACTTCAGGGCATTTCTCATGTCTAAGTATGGACAGGTACACATTTTACAAAGCAGATTGGCAAATTACTCATATTTAGGATGTGATTTTACAAAAGCCAGTGGTAGGTTGAGAGAAAAAAGAAGAGACCGAAGAGAAAAGATTCCCAAACCAATTTTAAGGGTTGCCTACAGATCACACAGCAGAGGGACTGCTTACAGCGATAAGCGTGCAAATGCCCTATAAAAGATAGAGATTGAACTTTTTTTCTTTGTTTTAATTATAGCCATGTTTCCCTCCTTTATGCCCTGGACGGTTGCTAATTGGCCAGAGGGTTCTCTCTGCCTGCTCCCTCATGCTTTATCCCCCCTTACAGTGCTTTTCATTTCTGTTGAGGCTAATTAAAGTGTGGGGTCTGTGTACGCAGAACTTCTACGGGCTGAATTGCTGAAATGAACTATATGGGGAATTTCACTTGAAAATAATTCAGAGGGCTTCTCACATGACACCTGTTCACTAATACATTCTTTATCCCTTGCATTTCTCAACTCATGTCCTTAGCCACAAACAAAGGGAACCAGATAGGGGTATCACTGCTATAAGTTCTTCTCTCTTAGTTTTACAGTCATGAGTTTTGTTTCTTCACTCTGAGGAAGGCATCACCCACTGGAGAAGGTTGAGAAACACAGAATGAGTGGGAGACCGTGGGAACAGGAATCCTGAACACCCGAGTTCTAGGCAGATCTGTGCCAGTGATTCACTGCATTGCCTTATGCCAGGCTCTTAGCCAGTGTGATTAGTATTTGAAAAGAAAAAAAATATAGGAAGAATTTTTTTTTTTCTGACCAGGGTCTCTATGAGCGCCTGAGGAACTGGCTAGTCTTCATGAAGGACTACTTTATAGATAAGCATGCACTGATACCCCTGACCTGACATGCTAAGAAGCAGTGTTGATCATGTTTGCAAGGATACCCCCATCTCCCTCCTATTGCAAAATCACCTACTTCATTTTTAAAATCCTTGCAGCACCAAATCACACTTGTCTCTGAATTGCTAGCTATCCCCTAAACCTACCCTCCCTGCTTGCTCTGCTAGTTTTACACCTCTTGCAGGCTGTGACAATTCTTTCTTAGACCTGTCTATTCAGGATACCAAACTAACAGCCCAAATTAAAGAATACTCCCAATAGAGCAGCCCCGCTTCTCACACCTCCTCTAAGAGCCTGCCAAGTTAATCTCAAAAATGTTTCTGCTGAGTGCAAGCTTCCTGGCTTTTATAGGGTGATTTACAGGCCATCACCTGATCTCTGGCCTTATAGCAACACCCGGGAGGCTATTAAGGAGGTTAGATACAATTTACTTGGAGGAGTAGCCTGTCTGTGCTGGAGCTTGCTGCTCTGCACCATCGGAGCAGCTCTGGGGACTACTGATACCTCTCACTCCTTGATCCTGTACTTCTTTCCAAAAACATAACTTACTTGCAGTATTTTTACTGCCAGCTATCTAATTATCTAGCATCTTCTGCGTCTAATCATCTTGCAGAAGAAATTCCACTGAAACAAGTCCTTGTGAAAGCAAAGCAGAATGAAACTTGGAGAGTTTACAGTGTGGGAAGGAGAATCCACACGGCAATGAGGCAGTTCAGTACTTATCCGAGAAACCAGTACTGCAGTACAAACATGCAAACATTAGAATCAATGTGTTGTAATATGCTATGCAATTCTGCTGCCGATTTAAATGCTTACATTGATATGTTATAATCACACACAGAAAGAACTAAAAATTTCCAAGCAAGTAGAATAAATAATATAATATTACTATTACTACTTTTACTACTCAGCATTGATCATACTGTCTTCTTCCTTATCTAAAATCTGTACCTTTCTTAACAAGGTGTTCTTATAATGTTCCTTGCCTGTAATGGGTCTGCATCTATAATGCAAATAAGCTTCATAACAAAGTTTATTTGTTACATGTATGTGACAAAATAAATACAAACCACCAATAAACTTAAAAAAATACCTACTTAATCATGGCATTAGTGCTCATTACAGACAAAAAGAAGACTGAATTTAGATGGTTTCTTACCAAACCCTGGAAGAAAGTGCCAGTTTAAGTATTCTTTCCTTTTTCCATTTTGTATATACAAAATCTGCATCTAGGTTATCACTAGCATTTGCTTACTGAGAGAACAGGCTTGTAATAATAACAACGATACAAAAAAATTTATGTGGAGGAGAGCTAGAAAACCAAAACTATTGCAAAGCAGGAGTAAGAAATACAAATATTGTAGTGTCAGGTGTCAAAGCTTAGGGCATGCTTAAAGTGGGACTCCAGCGATATTAAGAGTAGTGAGGAGAACCTTGCACTTTTTATTTGCATGCATTTTGTTAGGCATTAATCAGCATAATAAGCTTTAATTTTATGAGCACAAGATGTTGCAATTCCGGATACCTATCTGGTGTTCCTATTAGTGCTCTGAGAAGAAAATTGTGGTACGTGTTTGAACAAGACCTTCAGAACAACCTTAGGCAAAAATAAATGTGCACACACACTCCTGTATGTTTGGCTTCAGTACTCCCAGAGCAATTCATTTGTCCATTTGAAGGCATAGATGTAATTTCAAAATTGCCTATGCATACATTCTGCTGATCTCTCTTTTGTTTAGCATTAATTGTCAGCCCTATTAATTGTCAAATGCTACACGGGCTATATTCATGGGCTACAGAATTAGTACAGCAAAGCATGCCATTTCACTGCACTGTTGGGGGAAAAGGAAGAAACTAGCAAATCTTTCTAGAGCCCATCCACCTCAACAGGAATGTCCTAGTGGTTTTTCTTCACTTTTATGAGGGGGTAACACAGGTTTCTTAGGCAGCCATTTGCTTAAAGTATTAGGGTTTTTTTGTGATAATAATTCTCTATATGGACAATCAAGCAGGGGCCAGACCCCCAAAGGCAGTAGGCCTAAACAGGATTTAGCTACACTTAGACTGGCAGAAATCCAAAGCTCTGATTCTCAAATCCTGGCTCAATGTGTATTTAACCACCTTGAATGATTACATTCACAAAATCTTAGTTTTTGACTAACAAGTTCTCTACGCTGCTTCTGCACTTGCTCAGACCAGGCCGAGGCTAGGGGGGAGCTCCTTCCCACTTCCCACTGGCAAGCAGAGACCACGCAGGTTGCCCCTGAAGTGCGTAAATCCTCCGCAGAGCTGGGCCCAGCAGCATGCCTCCCACAGGCCAGCATGACCTTCCTCCCTGTAAAACACTTCAAGAAGAGTGGATGCCTTTCTTTCATACAACACAGTAGTTGTAGTAACAGAAAGTACAATATGTGGATTAGTGCCTTTGCAGGCTGGGATTCAAACCTCTGTGTCCATCTCGCAGGATACTGCAGTAATCAAAGCCGTTAAGGTGACAGGACAGCTGTAGATGCCCACAGCCTGGAGGGGAGCTGAGGCTGCTTATTCCAAATGGACTGAGGCACCTGAACTCTAGAGAGAGGCAGGAGACCTTGTTGGCAGATGCTATGATCATGCCTTCCAGCTGTTATAGGCAATATGAAAAACACTGTTCCATTTTGGTACCAACAAAAAAAAAATTACTCCAATCAAATTGACTTCACCCTGCAGGAGACTGGGGTAGTCACAGAGGGACAACTTTCTGATTCTGGCTCAGAAAGTGATAGAAATTATAACTGGCAGCTAATAGACAGTAATTAGCAGCCTGTAAACTGGCTATCAGCTGTAGGGCACAAAAGCCTTGACCCATGGCTGTCACATCCAAATGACAAAAATGGTGTGTACATTTTCAGGATCTGATAAACAGGCATTCTTCTCATCAACCTACTTGCATGGAAGATCCAAGTCATCCTGCACAAAAGTGTGCGCTAGGAGAGTGCTAGAGGTTTTAAACTTCACAGCAAGCTCACTGCTGCTTTACTAGTCCTTCTTCCTTTGCTGGGTCTAATCTAAATTTCTTTGGAAATTATTGCGA